CTGGTAAACTCCCAGTGCCGTTTTTGGGGTGTGGCGGGTGTGCAGCAGGGCTGGGGAAGGGGATTGGGGGACTGGTGACCCCCGGGATCTCGCCCCTGTCCCCTTTCCCCCTGCGAGATAGATGCGATGGACAGGGAGCTGAGGCAGCTGAGAAATTAGGAGCTGAGGCTGTTTGGGGTCAAACGCACCATGTACAAGTGCGAGGGCGAGCATCAGCCATGGCTGTGGGTGAAGGAGCAGGAAGCAGAGGTGTGGGATGCTGTCCCTGTGTGGCGTGCCCGCTTCCCAGGGCCCGCGGCCTGGTTGTGACTCCCAATATTGTCCGCATGCCCAGGAAAGATGTAGAGAGGCAACTCTGGTGTGCCTGTGGTAAGAGGGCTGGCATGGGGGCAGCAGTGGGGTCCCCCCAGGCCCCTGGGCAGCTGGAGGGGAGGCCAGGAAACACGGGGGTGTTGGGGTGGTGGAGCAGGGAGTTTGGGAATCAGGGCTCTTGGAGCATCCTTTCTACCCCTCCTCTCCCCGCTCTATCCACCTATCTATTCCCCACTCTATCCATCCATCCATCATCCAGCCCCGCTCTATCCATCCATCCACCCTGATCTGTCCATCATCCAGCCCCGCTCTATCCATCCATCCACCCTGATCTGTCCATCATCCAGCCCCGCTCTATCCATCCATCCACCCTGATCTGTCCATCATCCAGCCCCGCTCTATCCATCCATCCACCCTGATCTGTCCATCATCCAGCCCCGCTCTATCCATCCATCCACCCTGATCTGTCCATCATCCAGCCCCGCTCTATCCATCCATCCACCCTGATCTGTCCATCATCCAGCCCCGCTCTATCCATCCATCCACCCTGATCTGTCCATCATCCAGCCCCGCTCTATCCATCCATCCACCCTGATCTGTCCATCATCCAGCCCCGCTCTATCCATCCATCCACCCTGATCTGTCCATCATCCAGCCCCGCTCTATCCATCCATCCACCCTGATCTGTCCATCATCCAGCCCCGCTCTATCCATCCATCCACCCTGATCTGTCCATCATCCAGCCCCGCTCTATCCATCCATCCACCCTGATCTGTCCATCATCCAGCCCCGCTCTATCCATCCATCCACCCTGATCTGTCCATCATCCAGCCCCGCTCTATCCATCCATCCACCCTGATCTGTCCATCATCCAGCCCCGCTCTATCCATCCATCCACCCTGATCTGTCCATCATCCAGCCCCGCTCTATCCATCCATCCACCCTGATCTGTCCATCATCCAGCCCCGCTCTATCCATCCATCCACCCTGATCTGTCCATCATCCAGCCCCGCTCTATCCATCCATCCACCCTGATCTGTCCATCATCCAGCCCCGCTCTATCCATCCATCCACCCTGATCTGTCCATCATCCAGCCCCGCTCTATCCATCCAACCACCTCCAATCTATCCATCCATCCAGCCCCCGCTCTATCCATGCATCTACCCCCACTCTATGCATCCATCCCCCATGCTGCAAGACCCAGGGACATGGCCTTTTAAAGAAAGGAGGAAATAACAGAGAGAGCATCGTTTCCTGGAAGGGGCTCAGCCCTTCTCGTTACAGACAGCAATTCTCAGCGTTTTGCAAAGACGCCTTCTGAGCTGGCGGCATAACGAAGGGATCTCCCAGTCTCTACCCTGGAGGACCTCAGGGAGGGCCAACTCGAGGACTTCAGGCCTGCACTCAGCTCCTGGTGAAGCCGGGATACAGAAAAATCAGGATACAAAAAACCCAACTGTCTGAACCTCATGGACCTGCGTGTCAGTTTGTTGCGCAAGGACTTTGCCTTGGATGTGAAGCTCAAAACACTGCAAAAACACCACTTGCTCGACGTGGCCGAAGACCTTGCCGCTGATATTGGTAAGAGACTTCCCCGTACAGGGAAAGGGTGACGCCACAGCATCAAATATATCCGGCTGGGACGGACATCTTTTTTCTTTCGGGGGGATCTTAGCTTGGACCCACCCCACGGTCGAGATCAAGTCAGCCCAGTTTCCCCATGAAAAGGGGGCGCTTGAACCAGTTATGCTGTTATGAAATGGGAGGAAAAAGAGAAGGGCATTGAGGATGAGGATTGGGATGGAGGGGCATCATGGGAGGAGGCACAAAAGGGTATCTATATGCATGCTGTAGGGTGGGTGGGGGTTAATTATGTCACCCTTCGGCTGAGCACCTGTCAGCAGCAACAAGGGCCGGGTTCAATCTTGGGCTGCTAAATATATTTGACCTCAGCTCGAGCCCCCACCCCTGGAAAGCACTAAATGCATCACGAGGGTGTCCAATGCAACCGACAACCCTTCCCTTGCAAGCAGGGTCAACCCGAAACCCACATTTATTATGAAAAAGAAAAGCAAACCCTAACTATATCATTTTAAAACACTATGAAACAAGGTGTCTAGGTGGCATCTTACCCATGCCCAAGCAGTCTCAGATTTGGGGCTTTATACCGTGGCACCCCTACACCTGCCCGTCAGCAATGGGATGGGGATCGGGGCCTGCACCAGCGAGTCCTATGTGCTGCCCCATGGGTTCACTGTGCCAGACCCACCTTGGCTTGGGCCTGAACGACAACCAGCCCCTCAACCGCTGCTTGGTTGGGGCACTAACTGAAAAAGGGACAAAAGGAGGCCCAGGCCTATCTCGCTGAGCCTGAACTGGGCAGCAATAGCCGGCCAGGCCTATACGGCACTGAACAACAAGTAGCGCCTGGCTCCAGCCCTGCTAGGCATCACCCTGGCCCAAATTTGCCAGCCAAACATATAGCTGGGGTTCAGCCACGCACAGCTAGGTTGAAATGCGATAGTTGTGAAACAGCAAAAAGGCCCGGGCCTGTGACTGCAGTCTGGACATCTAAGGCGCTTGTACACGTGACAGAAATCACCCACTTTTGTGGTTCAATTGCATCACGCTTTACATAAATGGGGTTTTTTTTCTTTTTGCAATTTAAATGAATGCAACACCACGCACACTTGGGGTCGTGTGTGGTAAAGTGTGTTTTGGTGTAATGCTGTTGTGTATCTTGTTTTTGCTTTATATCGCGCCTTTTCTGGGACTGGAAGAAGATGGCGTCCCTTCCCCCTCGCTGTGTCCAGGCCATTGTCTTAACATTCGCTCCAAGGGACCTGTGGGACCAGTTTCAGAGTTTTTTAGGAGCTGGAAGGGACCTTACAGATCACGGGGTCCAGCCCCCCTGCCCTGGGGCAGGAAAGACCACTGATTTGGTGACTGGCCGCTTCACCTGGAGCGCTGACCACCTTTGAATCAATTGGTCTGCATTAGCAGTGTCCAAATGATGCCATTTCTGGTCAGGACCAGGTGATGATGTCTAAAATATGATTTAAGGGTCAGGCTACCTGGCTGGGATGATGCCATGAGTGTGCCCTTCCCTAGTGTAGACCGACCAGGAAAGGGGTCCTGGCAGCTACTGGCCGTGCAGGTCTTCAATGGGATGATGCCAAAAGAGTATCCTTCCCTTCTGCAGCCTGACCAGGAATGGGGTCCTGGCAGCTATTGCCCCCTGCATTAGGGATTGTAGTGCCTTGGCCTGGTGGTATAGCTGGGACGACATGTCTGGACTGCAGCCACAATCCTGGGACCTTTTTGCTGTTGCATTTCAGCCCACTGGTATGGGACTGAACCCCAGCCATATGTTGGCTGGCACATTTGGGCCCTGGCACTTTTTGTCTATCCAGGTCTCAGTGCTGCACAGGCAACCCCCACACTTAGCGCCCTTAATTTGTTCCCCAAAAACTGAGCATTAAAGGGAATAGCGTTAAATTAAATCAATTTTCCCAGAAGAATTCATGTAAATATATATTTGCTACCAGGGCGCCCAGCAGCAGCAACATGAGCACCTGGTAGCTCAGGACCAGCTCGGCCAGTGCCAAGCCGTTGCTGCCCGCCTGGGCCCCGGCCCCAGAGGGGGGGCTGTTGGTCCCCT